GGGTAGGAATATTGAAATAGACAAAGTAAGAAATGAACAATGTAGTTCAGACCCCGGGATTATTTTTTAGATATTGCTAGATTTGGTTAGAAGTGAATTTTATTACTAAAATGTAAACTGTTGAAATAAAATAAAAAATGACTAATAAAATTAAGAAGAAATAAAAGTGTAATTTTATGTAATTAACAAAAGAATAGTTTAGTTATACAATGAAACTATCTAATTGGTTTGATACAATTAATAATTAATAATTTAAAGTGCCAAAAAAAATAACACGCAGATATGCTGCCAATGTGCGGAATAACTTTACTACGATTTGGTTAAGTGCGAACAACTTTGCTATGATTAAACAAAAAAAAATGGCTAACATATTAATCAAATTATTTGATTAATCAATAAAACAATTACTAAACAATTAAAAATTAATAATTTAGTAAATAAAAATTTAAATCGAAAAAAAGGAAGGAAATACTCCACATAGTGCGGAGTACTTGTTGGAGTTGCTCTGCAGTGTGCGGAGCATCCGCACAGTGGACTAACTTTAGACAAAACGGCTTATTTTTTACATACTGCTAGATTTGGTTAAAAATGAATTTTATTAATAAGATGTAAAGTGTTGAAATAAAAAAAAATGACTAATGAGATTAAGAAGAAATAAAAGTATAATTTTATGTAATTAAAAAAAGAATAGTTTAGTTATACAATAAAATTGTCCAATTGGTTTGATATGGTCTAATATGGCAATTGATTGTTTGTTTACTAACAAAGTAAACAATTAATAATTTAAATTGCCAAAACAAACAATATGCATATGCTTCACACAATGCAGAGTATTAGTTAGAATGCTCCACATAAACAACTTTGATTAAGATGAAAAAAAATTGGCTAATATATTAATCAAATTATTTGATTAATCAGTAAAACAATTATTAAACAATTCAAAATTAATAATTTAGTAAATAAAAATTTAAATCAAAACAAAAGGGAAAAAAAGGGGCAAAATACTCCGCACAGTGCTGAGTACTTGTTGGAGTTGCTCCGCACGCCGCACGGCAGAGCAAATGCTCCTCAGATTTGTTTCCAATTTATATAAAAAAACATTATAATTTAACAAAAAAAGAGTAAGTTCTGAGTTCGGGGAGTCCAAATTGGTGCAGGGAATTCCCACACAGTCGTGAGGGGACAGTGCGGGGACTCCCCGCACAAATTGCTCGGAGAAGTTCTCCTCACTATACGGAGCAAATCTTTTTTCCTTTCAGATTTTTTTTTCTTTTGGATTGAAATTATTATTTATTATTAATTGTTTATGTCATGCGCCATACCTCTATCTATCTGAATTTTACACACATAAATGGTAAACTAATCTATTCGAATGTACTTATAAATTTCAGACTAATCCATCCCAAATACACTATACTCTAGAATGTACTTATATATAACTTGTCAAATTCTAGAATGTAATTTTATATAACTTACCATATTTCACCGATTTTTTACCCAATTTTTTTTTTTTTACTTTTAATCTTTTCATTTCTCTTGCACAAGAGTGGTTTTTTTTCCCCCTTTAGTGCTTCAACTAGTGCGGAACAATTTCGACAACTCTTGCAGAGCAAATTTTTTTTCCCATTTCTTTTGGAATTTTTCCCCTTTTTTTATTCATAATTATTTTTTACTAAATAATTAATTATTATTGATTGTTTACTGTCATGACTTGTTTGCCATACCTTTACTATACTATTTTCTCCATATTGGTATACATATCTTTTTTCTATCCCATACCTTACAGATTTTATCGTACAAAACTAATTCATTGCTCTACACATTTCATCATACAGAGACTAATCCATTTCTATACATTATACTCTACAATGTACTTTTATATAATATACTTGATATAAAAATTTCATATTAATCAATCAACTGATTTACTTAGCCATACTTCACTGATTTTATCTCTTTTTTTTAAAAAAAAATTTGACAAATTATACTATATCTATTTAAAGCATTTCATTTCTCTTCTAAGATTACCATCCTCCTCTTCTACTGTACTCTAACTGCATTTGACATATTATTTATTTTATAGATTAGATAAAATGGAAGAAGAATACAAACTCATACCAGAAATTGTCTCAAACAACGAGAAGTGGAAAGCCAAAGTCATTGTTATCGAAAAACAATCACCAAAA